GGGCTACAGGTGCCGCATTCTTCAGGTCAATCCACTTTTGAACCAGAAACAGCGGCAGAAGCGCCTGACCTGGGCTACAGAGAAGCAGCACTGGACTGTTGCTCAGTGGTCCAAAGTACTTTTTTCAGATGAAAGCAAATTTTGCATGTCATTCAGAAATCAAGGTGCCAGAGTCTGGATGAAGACTGGGCAGAGGGAAATGCCAAAATGCCTGAAGTCCAGTGTCAAGTACCCACAGTCAGTGATGGTCTGGGGTGCCATGTCAGCTGCTGGTGTTGGTCCACTGTGTTTTATCAAGGGCAGGGTCAATGCAGCTAGCTATCAGGAGATTTTGGAGCACTTCATGCTTCCATCTGCTGAAAAGCTTTATGGAGATGAAGATTTCATTTTTCAGCACGACCTGGCACCTGCTCACAGTGCCAAAACCACTGGTAAATGGTTCTCTGACCATGGTATTACTGTGGTCAACTGGCCTGCCAACTCTCCTGACCTGAACCCCGTAGAGAATCTGTGGGATATTGTGAAGAGAAAGTTGAGAGATGCCAGACCCAACACTCTGGATGAGCTTAAGGCCGCTATGGAAGCATCCTGGGCCTCCATAACACCTCAGCAGTGCCACAGGCTGATTGCCTCCATGCCACGCCGCATTGAAGCAGTCATTTCTGCAAAATACCTGACCAGGTATTGAGTGCATAACTGAACACAACTATTTGAAGGTTGACTTTTTTCGTATTAAAAACACGTTTCTCTTATTGGTCGGATGAACTATGTTAATTTTTTGAGATAGAAATTTTGGGTTTTCATGAGCTGTACGCCAAAATCATCAATATTAGAAATAATAAAAGGCTTGAACTACTTCAGTTGTGTGTGAAGAATCTAACATATATAAAAGTCTAATGTTTATCAGTACATTACAGACAATAATGAACTTTATCACAATATGCACATTTTTTTAGGACCTGTTTGTCAACAATAGAAAAAGACATCAAAAACAACCCAACCACATGCTTAGAGATTGTAATCTATCATATTTTATAGGTTGCAGAATATATTTTATCGGCTTGTTATACACACTAACGAGCCACTGATATAGACAAATGTAGTTTGAATAAGAAGATGCAAATGTGTCTCATAATAAGCAGATAAATGGCGGCTATCAGCTGCTGGGTGTTCTGGCAGACTAAATGCTGTTCTGTTCCTTTCATCAATCAGAACAACAGCTAATGGACTCACAGCATCTTGTTTTGGAAGCATCATCCTAACAGACAGAAAGAATCGGGTTTATGAGATAAAGTTGTTCTGGACTTGAGGTAACTAGACACGAGGCTTAGAAACATGAGCTCAGAGTTAAACTTAATATTAGTTCATACGACAATTTCTGGTCTGGTTCAAGCTACAGAAAATGCTTTTTATCTAAATGAGTAGTATTTATTTTTCTGTATAGTTTACTTTCACCTGCATTAGTTATCATAAAAATCCTGCTGGAGGCCTTCACAACCTCATTTCACCTTATTGTTTTGACAATAATCTAACCTTTTGGGTATTGCCATGGTAACTGAGATGATGGTGAATCTTTCTATTAGCAAAAAAATCAGAAATGACAATGTGTAATTTTTACTGTTAATCTCTTGAAATATAAATCAAAATGTTGTTGAAAATAAACGAAGCTCAGTTGTAGAAAAACATTGGCGAATTTGTAACATATAACAATAAGACTCGGGTCTAAAAAACATGAAAGCAGTTCTAAGTCTCTGGGCGACACCGTATTAGATGGAAAGTTTCCCTCTACATGAGTGTGTACAGACAAAATGCATTTACTGATTTGTAACAAGCGGTTGCCAAACTTTCACAAGTCATTAACGTTGTTTCATACATTTATCTCTTCGCTCATTGCCAGTGATGAAAGGGAGTCTGATGTGTTTGTCATTTTGCTGGAGATTGAACAATCTGACAAAGTACTCAGTCAAAAATTTCACTTCCACGGATTTTTGGCCCCAATGACTTTCCGTTGGTAAGGTCTTACTTGAACCCCTCTTGCCAGGAAAATACACACGTGCGTAGGTTCTCTCCGGGTTCTCCGGTTTCCTCCCACAGTCCAAAACCACGACTGTTAGGTGGATTGGTCTGTCTAAATTGTCCTTAGGTGTGTGTGTGTGTGTGTGTGTGCATGATTGTTTGTCCTGTGTGTCTCTGCGTTTCCCTGTGATGGACTGGCACTCTGTCCAGGGTGTGCCCTGCCTGATTGCCCATTGACCACTGGAGAGGAAGCAGAGTCTGGGGACTTTGGGTTGGACTCTGCAATCTCTGGAGCTGAGGTCACTGAGGTGGTCAAAAAGCTCCTCAGTGGCAAGGCTCCAGGGGTTGGATGAGACTAACTCAGAATTCCTTAAGGCCCTGGACATTGTGGTGCTGTATTAACTGATGTGGCTCTGCAGTATCGCATGGACATCAGGAGCAGTTCCACTGGATTGGCAGACTGGGGTGATGGTCTCCCTATGAAACAGGGGGATCATAGAGTGTGTTCCAACTACAGAGGAATCACACTTCTTAGCCTCCCTGGTAAAGTTTATTCAGGGGTTCTGGAGGGTCCATCGGATTGTTGAATCTCAGATTCAGGAGGAACAATGTGGGTTTCGTCCTGGCCGTGGAACACTGGATCAGCTCGATAGCCTAGGGGGGTCCTCGAGGGTGCGTGGGAATGTGCCCAACCAGTCTACATGTGTTTTGTGGATTTGGAGAAAGCGTTTGACTGCGTCCCTCGGGGGTCCCTGTGGGGCCCTGTGGTACTCCGGGAGTATGGAGTACCAGGCCCTTTGAAACAGGCTGTTAGGTCCTTGTATTACCGGTGTCAGAGTTTGGTCCGCATTGCCGGCAGAAAGTCAAGCCAGTTTCCAGTGAGAGTTGGACTCCACCAAGGCTGCTCTTTATCACCGATTTTGTTCATAACTTTTATGAACAGGATTTCTAGGTGCATCCAAGGTGTTGAGGGGATCTGTTTTGGGGGCCCAACGATCAGTTCTCTGCCTTTTGCAGATGATGTAGTCTTGTTGGCTTCATCAGACAGTGATCTCCAGCTTTCGCTGAAGCGGTTCGCAGCTGAGTGTGAAGCAGCTGGGATGGGAATCAGCTCCTCTAAATCTGAGACCATGGTCTAGAATCAGAAAAGGGTAGAATGCCTTCTCCGGGTCAGGGATGAGGTCCTGCCCCAAGTGGAGGAGTTTAAGTATCTCGAGTTCTTGTTCACGAGTGAGGGAAAAATGGAGCGTGAGATCGATAGGCGGATTGGTGCCGCATCTACAGTGATGTAGGTATTGTACCAATCTAATGTGGTGAAGAGAGAGCTGAGCTGGAAGGCAAAGCTCTGGATTTATATGTTTATCTACATTCCTACCCTCACCTATGGCCATGAGCTTTGGGTAATGACCGAAAGAACGAGATCTCGGATACAAGCGGCTGAAATGAGTTTTCTCTTGAGTTTTTCTTCTGAAAAACTCTATTTTTTACTAACCTTGGATTTGATAAACTGTTTCAGACCAGATAAACTGGTCATTCAATGCGATCGATAAGATTTTTTCAACAATGAGAACGGAGCAGGGGGCTCCCACATGTCCACAGGGGAAGCACCCGGTGGGATATATGTTGGATTCCTGGAAGGAGTGGAAGATCATATGCCTCTCCCAGCTGTCCATTGAGGACATTGAAGACGTGTGGATATTTGATCTGATGATCACTGGATTTCTCCTGATTGGAGTGGGAGGATATCTGGTTTTCTGGAAATTTGGGAAGACGGGAGCGATTGGAGGGCAACCCGCACAGGCTTGAGCATCTGCCCTATAGGTTCACAATTGTACATCGCTTTGGATAAAAGCATCTGCCCAGTAAATGAACATAAAGTGGACTTTGTTACCTGGTGAAGGGTTCCAACATTGTATAATTCCATTGTAATATCACCATATTTGGAAAATGGAAAGATCTCTGTATTGCCACGCTCAACTGTTTGAGTGCATGCACGAGACATGTTTGTCACAGAATTGCATAAACATACGTGCTGATGCTTCTGTCATTTTGAAACCATCTTACCCTCTACAATACACTTGTCAGCCACTAGATGGTGCCATCAGATAAAAATATGGATAGCTACTTATGCTGTGTGGTGGGTTTGCTAATGCTAACAGTTAGTTTCTACTAGCCAAGATGTTCTCTGCTGTTTCCTGGACGCTAAAACAACAACAGCCTTCCCCATCCTGAGTCAAGATGGGCGAGTCCATGAATGTTAAGTGACAGTGTGATCTAGATCTATCAGACTTTTTAAATCCTAGAGTTTCATCGTCTATTTTCATGTTCAGCCTGCATGAAACACTCAGAGTGACCCATTATAATCAGAAATATCCATTGATAAATGATTTTTCAGTGTTCCACACCTTTAAGAAAAACCTAAACACAAAAATGATGTTAAATGTTGAGAGAAAAGTAAAAAATAAAAAATAAGAAAACTATTGTGAGGAAATGGTTTAAAAGCTCTTTCTAGAAAAAAAAATGTCTAAAAGGGGGCTACTTCAAAAATAGTTCTAGCAGAAATGGAAACACCAGGTTGGTCAGATGGATGGTGTGGTTTGGAAAGGTCTGATAGTACCATCTGTCACATTCAGAACCATAATGAGCTTCATGTTAGACCGACCCAGGAGGGCTCCACTACGGACAGAAACACACAGAAATGCAGCTGGAATTCCCCCAGAATGCACGCTGACAAGCCCCAACATTTCTGAAAGAAAATCCTTCAGACTGAAGATTCTTAACTGGAGCTTTTGGCAAATCCCATCAGCTCTATGTTTCCAGAAGGACATGTGAAGCTTTTATCAAAGAGAGCTGCAGACCCACTCAGAAACACAGAAAAGGCTTCTTTAATATTCATGTGATGCAGTAATGTAACCATGAATATAAAACAAATACAACAAAGTCTCACTGGGGTAATGGGTGTCAGGTTCAGAGATAGCTGTGTGTGATGAGTTAGGTTGGCTGGTGTGGATCAATTAAACAACAATGTTTTCTTGTTCTATAAATCAATTATCTTTATTCACACAGTATAAACAACAAACAGCAACAGAGGGAACCTGCTGTGGAGCATAACAGACAGCAGAACCAGTACATCTCTAAAGGGCTGACTGAGACAGAAGCTTAGACACGGGGTCAATGGGTCAGATTTCATGGTACACGGACAGCATACACAAACCTATCGGATGCATGGATCTTGCATGTTCCTAAAGCCATTCAGTCCACTTGCAGGTTGACAGAAGAGAGACAACAAAGCACAGTCATGCTGAGCAACAATAGACTACAGTATGAAACAGAGTCGTTACATAAAAACCAAGTAAATCATCTCTTTAGAAAGGTTCTTTTCATATAAATGATTTGAAGTATACAAAACAGTATATTACACGTTTCTTGATGCGTGACTTAGAGCAAAACCCAGTAGCCTGCAGCACACTTCCCTTCAAAGTACTAAAACTACTTAAATGGATTACAAGCTACATACAGACTGTGCTGTAGTCCGAGTGGCGCAGCAGTCCCACATGGCGTCAGGAGACTATGGGAAAGGAAAAGATCAGCAGCATCGTCTTTCATTGACAACATACAACTAGAAAAACGCATCAGGCCTCTTATATTGCCAGCATCTTGTGTGTAAATCCCAGAACAGGAGTAGTAGTAAAGAATGCCCCCCCACACCCACACACACACACACACAACCACATGTAGTTTCTGCCAGAGCAGCAACGCAGAGACATCACCGCTGCTGCTTCTATGTTTCAAATGGTTCTGATATACCTATGATAAGTTAAGGCTCTTTAAGGACCTGAGGATTTTAAACATATGATGAGGCACACAGAAGGCAAAGAACAGCTCTAGACACTGGGCTGACTAAAGAAAGAGGGGCATGAGACAGCAGCATGGGTCCGGCCATCAGAGCAGCCCGCGGGGGCCAAAGTCCAGGAGAAGCAGACTCTCCACAACAGCTTAGTCCTGCTTGCTTTCAGCACTGAATTTCCTGTCTTTGCCTTATTTCAGAGAGGACTATCACCATGACATGCTAATGCTTTTAGCGTCCAGCCTGAGACACTCGCATGACAACACGTCATGCAGAAGCCCAGCAGAGATGTTTAAGCCACTTTAAATTGGGTTTCAGAGTAAAAGTTGCAATTGACTGTGAACTCAAGTTATTTATCATTTCAAACAGCCTCTGGCTGGAGAACTATAGGTGTTGTCCAACATGAGGAGCTAACAGCTAGTCTGAGCACAGCCAAGACTAAGTGGTTTGCTGTCATTTTAAAACATCTCCAAGCTCCTAAATTGCACAAAGTTAAAGCAGTGTTCATTTATAAATCATAACATTGCGATCAGTTTACACCACCGTATTTTCTGGTGAGATTCCTGCTGTATTCTCACTTCTGAACAGAGCTATTCACAAAGGTATCGAAATTTTACAGAAAAAGATGCTATGAATGGAATTCTTTCAACTGAAAATAAAATAAAATAAAATAAAATAAAATAAACAACACAAGACCTTTTAAAGCTTTTGTTTTTGGACATTCTGTGTTTTGAAAGTATTTTTGAATTCATTTTCTGCTTCTTTCGGGCATTTTTATTTATTTTTTTGCATAAGATCCATACTAAAAGAGCCATTGCTCACTGAAATGATTGCTCCAGCCTCTTTGGGTTGCTGTGGTCATGACATCACATTCACACCTTTGGACGTTCCTGCCTTTTGAGGATGGACCACAGGCTCTTTGTGGGATTAAGGTCTAAGCAATTTCCTGGACCCGGACCCAACATGTTGATGTTTTGTTCCAGATCCACATGGTTGTGACTTTAATCCTTCTTCTCCAAGATCCAAGAGCAGATGCTGTTCTTTGTCATCGTCAACGTTAGGAGGAGTTCCTCTAGGAGGATGCTTGGGTAACATTCTTTATTCATGGCTGTTCTGAGGCGAAACCAATAAGCAAGTGGACTAAACAGAGACGATTACTTTTCTCCAACCCTCAGCAGTCCACTCCTGGACCTTTAGCGACCCGATCCTTCCCATTCCATGCCAGTTTGGTCAGTGGAAAAGGCCTATTAGTAAAACATCTACCTATCACTGATGGTTGTCTTGAAAAAAGTGGCTTATTGGCTGCCCTTCTTGATATCCTCCTCACACCTGCCAGCGTCCACTCCTGAGCAAAATCTCAGCCCTGGTGGTGCACCTAACCTGGTCCTGGTGCTTAGAAGATGTTCATGGGTGCTCTCAAATCTTCTTAAACGCAGTGGAAATAACGATTAATTTTTGGTATGCAGTCATGTGTTATTCTCCGCACACTGGATATGGCTGCATAATGGGCTCGACACACGGGAGGCGACAAACGACCGCGATCAGCGAAATTTGTCGCTGTCGCTTTTATTACCTGTCACACGGGAGGCGATCTGCGGCAGCGGCCAGCGGCAAAGCCGTCTACGTGTTCTGTTCCATGGCGAAATCGAAACTTCCGTTGTTTTGTTTGGCTGTGTCAGGTTGGAGGGAATTAAGGTTATTTAAGCGGTTCAGAGTTAATAAAGCGGTAGATATGATGTTTCACAAGGTGCTGTTAGAGTTATGTGAAATCTTACTTCTGATTTTACTATTTAAAACATAATAATAATCAACTCCTCCTTCATGTTTGCTCGAAGATGTACGGAGCATCCTGTCCGCTCATTGGTCAGTGAATGAAACCTCCGTTGATTGGTCCTCGCCCGAGCGACAGCAATGAAAAGTTGAAAATGTTTCAACTTTCTGGGATCGTGTCGCTGGGTCGCCTGTGCACGACACGTGCACGAGTGCAAACTTTCACACGCACGTTTTTCGCGTTTCGCTTGATAGGAGGGAGACCCGCGATTATCGCTTTGTCGCGCATGTCTCATTGAAAATGAATGGAGGAGAGGCGATGTCGCCTCCCGTGTGTCGAGCCCATAATGTGTATCTAATTTATAAGAAACTCTCTCTTTGCAGTGGAGTCCAACCAGCCATTCTGTCCTCCATGTGCAACTCCTGAACAGGAAGATTGGGTTTTTACATTTACATTCTTGTTTCCTTTAGGAGTAAAGTGGGAATTTTTCATTGCTGAGGAATCCAAGCGTACTTTGACCAATGCACTGAAAGAGTTTTAGACGTGACAGTCACCTGATGTGACTCATGGAGCCTTTTATCTAAACCGTTAGCCGATTTAAGCATCCCTTGTGGTACGTGTAGCGGACCTAAGGAATTTTTGCACAGCAAGAGGGGTTTAGTGTCTGAAGTGCGGCAGGACCATAGTTCTGTTAGTATGTAAAATATAAACTTGTTATTTCGGCCGATTTTACTTAGCACTTTCTGCAAACTGGTGAAATTTAGACAGAAAATCTGAGTTTTGACGGTTTAAATCATCTTAATTTCCAGTTAAGTCATAGTAAAGAATCCCATTTAGCTGAAGCATTAGCATATCATGCTACTCCTACTCCTCTCTGCATAGGCTCAAAAAGAGCAACTTTACTGCAGTCTTACCAGCAAGCAGTTTATCTACATACCGAAGAAAATAAAGCCCTGTTGAACCAAACTGCTGTCAAACCAAATTCTTTACCTTTAGACTGCTAAACTGAACAATGGTACCTTCCATGCATTTAAATGTTCTCACCCAACTAGCCCAGGCCATCTCCAAACCCAACAGTCAAACAAAATCTAGAAAAGCTCAACATGTCATACAAAAAGATGCATATAAGACGTTTTCTTTATTTTCTCTTATGAAAGCTGCTTTGGTAACAACATAGTCACGACATCAGTCTGTCTCCTTCAGCTGGCCTGGGTGCTGAAACACCACCTCTCAGTGACGTGCTTTTCCTTTTTAACTGCTGGCGTCGTCCTGCTCTGCCACTAAACTCTAAATATGGATCTAGTTACACCAGAGTGGGCCGTGTTTGCTTTCCAACCGGGACCTCTCCTGCCACATCAGATGCAACGTCTGCCGGGAGCCGTTTGTCATAAAGATGTCCGTGCTGTGAAAGACAGCGCTATTGTGCTGAGGGCCGACAGAGTGGAGACCTTGGAAGCTGATCCCACTGCGTTGGGGCCTGAAACGGGAGGGAGAAGAACAGGGGACATTTAGCTCTGAAAACATTTGTAAAAAAAAAAAAATGCAAGAAGAATCCACCATGAAGAGGCTGAGGCCCTGTCCACACGTAGCCGGGGATCTGCCAAAACGTAGATATTTTTCTACGTTTTGGCCTGTCATCCACACGAAAACGGAGTTTTTTCACACGAAAACGGATCTTGTTTAAAACTCCAGCCAAAGTGAAGATCTGTGTTTTCTCCATTTTGGGTGTCTGCGTGTGGACGGACAAAACCGGAGTTTTAAGGTCCACAACGTCACTTTCCGCGACAAAAAAATGCTGACATCACGTGTGCGACCTGTGTTTACACTAGCCGACAGCATGGATGCCCTCAGAGCTGCACTCGCTTTATCAATTGTCCAAGCGCCTTCTGCTTGTTTGTTTTTGCAAGCGGAATTACTGCTCCTTGCGGAAGACCACAGACGAAGGACGAGGTTAAGAACGGGGGAAGTACTGCCGCCTACAGGTCTGGCATGTCCTCAACAACGTATTTATCCAGGTACGTGTGGACAGAGTTTGTTTTTTTAAACGCGGTGATGTGGATGCAAGTTTTTGGAGGGGCGGATATTCGTTTTAAAAAACCCCCGGCTACGTGTGGACTAGGCCTTAAAGTGGATTATAATGGTGTCGCCTGTGTATGTGTTTCATGATAATATATTTGTCGCAGTAAACACAATTAACACAAAATGTTATCATTATTATTCTTAGTGTTCACCATTCTAGGAAACAGCAGAGAACATGTTACTAGTAGAAACCAGCCGTTAGCATTAGCAACTCCACCACACAGCAGAACTCCTCCAGGCTTGTGTTATTTGTGGAGATAAAACATCAGAGCGAACAAAGTCAGTGGCAGGGTCGTATTTCTGTTAGCTAATTAGAGGCAAGATGTCCCAATATCAGGAAATAAGACTCAAATCTTGTCGTCTGAAGCTCTCCTCTGATGCGGCTCACTTGTAGTTCCTGAAACAGGAGCACCAGAGCGGTTTTCCTCACAGTTCAACTTACAAGGCATTTATTCTTACGTGATCTTACGTGGTCAGTGCACACGGAAAATACAGTGAAGAAGGCACAGCAGCGCCTCTTCTTTCTCAGGAGACTGAAAAGATTTGGCATGAGCCGCCGCATCCTCAGGACCTTCTATCGCTGTGCCATTGAGAGCATCCTCACTGGATGCATCTCCGCCTGGTATGGCAACAGCACCGCTTACAACCGCAAAGCTCTCCAGAGAGTAGTGTGGTGTGCAGAAAGGATAATTGGAGGTGAGCTTCCCTCCCTCCAAGACATCTACAGGAAGCGGTGCCTGAGGAACGCGGGGAGGATCATCAAGGACTCAAGTCACCCCAGCCACAAACTGTTCAGACTACTTCCATCAGGAAGGAGGTTCTGCAGCATCCGGTCCAGAACCAGCAGACTGAGAGACAGCTTTTTCCATCAGGCCATCAGACTGCTGAACACTTCACAGACACCTCACCCTCACTACTGAAACTCCAACATTACACACTCCATACTGTACATTAATGCCACAGTTTTGCACATACCAACCTCTGTACATTTTATATCTCTTATCTTATTGTTTACTTTATTCCTTTGTAAAATATGTATATACACACTATACACACACACACACGCACACATGTAGAATAAATAAATAAAATAAAATACTAGCACACACATTTAGTAATGTAATTACGTAGTAATAACCTTACATACTATACATATTATTACTTAGATTAGCCATTTTTATATTTTGCTTGTTTTTACGTTACTGTATTTTTGCACAACTCTGTTGCTGTGAAGCTCGCACACAAGAATTTCACTCGCATGTACTGTACCAGTGTACCTGCACATGTGACGTGACAATAAAAGTGATTTGATTTGATTCCTAGTGGAGAACACTGCATATGCATCATTCAAACAAGTAAACCACACCTTTAAAATACCAAATAGTTTACTTTATAAACTGTAGTTCTGTAGTGTCACATGGAGGATGCTTGCTAAACAAAGTTTTCTTTGCTGTGGTAGATATTATTTTACTCTCTACTAACGACAGCTGACCTGTTCAGCGTACCGCATCAGCAGGTGATCGGGTTATCCAGCTCGGCTCAGTCTCTCCACTCACCTGGTATCTTTGGGATGGTGATCTGCCTGCTGCTGCTGCCATCCCCTCCCTCTCCAAAAGGTTTTATCTGTATGATGTAATCCTCGTCAACGGGCAGAGCGAGCTCCACAGAGGTGGTGTTGGTTTCCATGACACTGGGCCGGCTGTGCCGATTCTTCTTATAGAGCACCTGTGGATGGAGTGAAGTCAGCTGTCGGGCGCACCATCGCAACAGGCACAATTTTCACCTGAAAAGAAGCAACTGAGGGCTCACTTTGTAACCAGTGACTTCGGACTCATTCTCCAGGGCCTTGACCCGCTCCCAGTTCAGAATAATCTTGGAGTTTGACGCATTCCACATGACTTTAATGGGCGGCTGGCTGGGAGCTGTGAGGAGGAACATCACTGCACTCAGACGAAACGCTGAGCGGCAGCCTAAGAACACCGGGAGCTTTATGTCTGCACGATACTTACGTGGTTTCTTGGTGGTCACATTTACGGTGGCGCTGGGCGGCCCGGTTCCAGCGGTGTTATACGCCCTCACTGAGACGTAATATGTGGTGCTGCCTCTCATCCCACGGATAACCGTAGACGTTTGATTTCCAACGGTCCTCTGCACGCTGGCCATGTCCTCTCTTTCACTTCTACTCCAGTACCTCAACTGGAAAGCAACAAGGCAGAACCGCAGACGTGAGCGCAGAAAGTGCGACGGACACCTTAAAAGCTTTCTGCTGCACCCCGTCAGCGGAGTGCAAACTCAAAACGGGGACATGTGAACTCAACTGGATGGAAGACGTGAACTGGTCTGAAAACAAGCTGCAGCAGCAGCATCTCACACCATGCGCCTCCAGAGATGTGTGTGCTGGGGTTTGAGTTAAGCGCTTAAGAGTGCACAAACAGTAAAAAGGCTGAAAATGCCCTCAGATCTAAGGATGGTTTTTTGTGTTCAATTAGCTGCAAACACCACCGATATTTTCTGTTGTCCTGCTCCAAAACACAACATCTAAACTAAAGCTGACTTTTTTTATTTAATTAGTGAGCAGAATTAAAATGACAGGAAGTAAGTGAAGCACTAAGCAGCTGTCTAAAGCAGCCTCTCTGTCTGGATTAGAGGCTAAACGCTCTACTCCTCAGAGTGTTGCATCAGTACGCTAATCAGGGCGGTTACACTACTTAGGTAGGCAACAAGAGAAACACAGCTAAACCCACAGGCCTGGGACCGGCCTGGACCATTATGCATGCAGCAAGCTATTATCTCGTACGCCCCAGGTGCACAAGTCTAAAACGCTCATCAATAATAGACGAGAACAGGATTCAGCAGCATTAGCTGCCATATGCACTCACACACCAACAAGGGGCTCACCTCGTAGCCTAGAACTCTCCTCCTGCTGGCGTTCCAGGGCAGAGCTTTCCACCAAACCTCAGCCTCAGACGCTGAGAGGCTCTTGGCTCGGACCCTGGTGGGCGCTCGGCTCGGCTCTGGAGTTATTGGAGAAAGGAGTTAGCTTTGATGCCTCAGAGAGGGAACATCAGAGATGTTCCAAAGACACTCCCTCCATCAGAAAAACTAAAGAAGGGAAGTAAGGTCAAGCTGAGGCCGGTTCTGTCAGGCTCAGCTGAAGTCCTGGAGCACGCTCATTTTTCTGCTTCTATAGCTGAACTAAAACATCTACACAGGGGAGACAACACCATATGTTGTGATACAAAGGCCAGACAATATTAGCAATTTCTAAGACATAATAAAATATTCAGCGTCATGGCAAAATCTTGTTCTTCTCTTTGTGTCCCTCCAGGGCCTCCGTACAGACCTAATGTTTTCACAAGTTTCTCTTAAATCTGGATGCTGTTCATTAATAAAATCTAAACATAAAATCTACATTTCGCCATGTTTTAACGCGTGGAAAATCAATAGAATTTATTAATACAAATTCCTCAAAAGAAAAGATCCAAAATGACTTATTGTTAAAATGATCTTGACTGTTGAATCAATTAAAGATTTATTAACCCGTGACCTGTTGATGGTGAGCTAAGACGGGCGGACACTGTGTGACTTCTTCACTCGTAGCGTTCAGCTTCAGCTCAAACTGTACGACTTCCTCAGAGCAAATCTCACGAGTCGTTCTCTCACTGTACGACCCCGTTCTCGGACGCGACCTGACTGCTCACATAAGTACGTCTGGTAGCAACACGTTGGGCCAAAACATATGCTAAAAATAGCAGTTTTTACACAACACACGGGACTTTTTTTGTGTTGTTATCGATGTCTGTTGTCCTAGAGGGCTGTAGGAGGACACACAGGCAGTTGGAGGAGGAAGAAGAAAGAAAGAAAGTAAATCAATGTTATGTGATCAGTTTAATTTGACATAAACAGGCTTTCTTGACAATCCTTGTCAATGTGTGCGTAAAAAAGTGTAGAAATAAAAAACAAAAGACGTGGATTAATAAAGAAATAGCTGGTGAGCCGTGTTGACGTATGTTTGCACGAGCGCCGTGAGCAATCCTGGTACTTTTTGGGTTGCAGTCGCTCGCAGCGCTGCTTCAACAGCGCGATACTCTCACAAAGGACAAAATAGCAAAATATCAAACACACCAGAAATCCGTGCGAGTTCACGATTGCTGATCGATAGCTGGTCACATGGTGCTAATTGCCTCTCGTAACCCCCTGTATACTACACGACGCTCAGCGCAAAACTCGCCCCGATCTCGTGGATTCTTATACGACGAGAAAATCGGCTCAAAAAGTGAAAAGGTCGCACAGTGTACGCACAGCTTTAGTCACAGAAAGCCACATAAACATCTAACCCCAACATGCGTTCATGTGTTAAATCACCACAACACAAGAAAAAAAAAACTATATTTGTAATTCGACATTGGCAGGCAGAAAGCACCAAAACTGAAACCAGTAAACAGGAGCGGCCCAGAAGTTATTTCTTGTAATCTAAGAAGCTGCGACACCTTTTTGGTTCCCTCTAATAACGGATATGAAGGCTAGAGGCTAAAGTTGAGCTAACGATGCTAACGGTGAATTAGAAGCAAATAGTCAGCATTAGGAATATCTCAAGCTGCTTTATTTATCAGGAACAACTCGATATTACTGTGCACTGCATTTATCTACTTATGAACTTACTGTTCTCATTCAGGACCCCACTGTGGGTCACCAAGAGCTACACAGAGGGTGTAGAAATAAAATAAAACTCCAAGTCAACTACTGAAGCTTTATTTTGGCATAACTGTTACAAAAACTCAAAAATGATCACAAATGGATAAAAGGATGAGAAGACGTGCTTCTGTGAATTATTTAGCTTTTGGAAGCATGTTTGTGTCAAATCAACTGGGATTGCGTGTCTCTACTACTGCTATGAGACTCGTGCTGAAATGTTTAGGAGCCACTGATCTTCTGCTGGCAACAGCCATGAAACTCACAGATGGGAGGACCACTGAGATCGGAGTCATCTGCTGTGACACATGGACTGCAACACCAACATTTGACCACAGGATGTCATTCTTACTTCATGCAGCTTCAAAAGCTGAATTTTTATTGTGTTTCATAACCTTTAAAAACTACTAAAAAAACATGTTTATTTTTTTTAATCAATCACAGAAGCTTAAGAGAACACCTTAAAGCCTTTATTAAACTGGTGGGATTATAAGATTCGGTCAAACACACCTTCCTCAGCAGAGTAGATGGTGGTGACAGGTCCAAATGGTCCCTCCCCCTCGTTGTTGTAAACTCCGACCTTCACGTGGAAAGGCGAGAATGGCTGGATGCTCTCGTTTTTAAAGACGTATTTGGATGCTTCAGGGGACGGGACGGCTGCCTGCATCCAGCCGGTGGTGCCGTGGGGTCGGAAGGCCACCACGTAGCCGAACCCTGGTCCGTTCTGTAACTCCTCAGGAACAGGCTGCAGGGAAACAAAAGTTTGACCCACACTCATTCAGCTGTTTGTAAACGGTGGGAGAGACGAAGGTTTTCACGCCTTCAGTCGACTGAACCTGCTGAACACGCGAGTGCTTTTACAGCTCACATCCATTACACAGTACAGAGCACTCCGCGTGATAACGTAAAGTCAGCTCTGATAACAGGCTCCAGACATTTATAGCAGCAGACCTGGTTCTGGTGGATAAACCGGCCCTCTTTACTCCTGTCTACTGAACGATGCATGCTCTAAAAAAGCCCACTTCATTTCTTTTTCAGCTTGGCAGGAGGAGCTGCTGTGTGGGAAGTGAATGCATAGTGATGCAGGTTGGATATTCATGCTCCTGTCAGTTCTCTGGAGGCTCTGACCTGTTGGAGTGAAGATGCTGGGCTTTTACATTTGGGTTTAACGCAAATGATGAAAATCAATTTTCATAAACAGGCGGGATTTACCTGAATAACACACGACTGAATCTGTGGTGGTGGACTCTCCTGGTTTGGATGTGAAACATGTAATTACGTCACTTGTCTCCAGAACATTGATGTATTGGATTAAACGTGTTTGTCATTCGCCGGTACACTTCTCCATGGACCACAGCTGTTTAAAACCCTGTGTGTTCTAAAAGTATAAATCAATAAAATCCAAAACAATTACTAACTATTCTGTTCTAAGTTGTTGTTTCTAGAGTTGTAACCTGTGTGTGTGTGTGTGTGTGTGTGTGTGTGTGTGTGTGTGTGTGTGTGTGTGTGCGCGCCTTGTGGCACAAGGCGTGTGTCTAATGCAGCACCACTGATGCTGGCTAGCTCCGCCGGGTGAAAAGAGGAGCCGAGTGTCCAAGACTTCCCATGCTAGTACGTAGCCTCTCCACCGCCTAGACTTCTCGTGGCCACACACGATAACTGGGTACTTTCTAGTCCCAGACTAAAACGCAAGGGAGCAGCAGTGGGCCCTGGAGACAATGGCACGTGTCATCCACTGCCTCAGCTATAAGGAAATAGCCCCACTGCCTTGAGGCAAGGCTAAGGAGGCACACCCCCTCCAGAAAAGCAAGGTGCTGGAGGTGCACTAAGGCGGGCCTAAATAAAGCTAGAACCCGGAGCCTCCTGCAGCTATGATGAGGGGCTGGTGCCACCAGGTTAGCCTCGTCATGGCGAAAATAATGCAAGTCTTGATAGCGCGCCTTCCAAGGCACTTTAAAAATCTCTTTGCACAGATATCCACTTCTGGCCATTAATACTACTTGGTTCTACATTCAGTTGAAGTCTGATGGCGATGAGGTTTCTGGAAGCTCTTAGTTGGAGCCTTCCAGGTCAGCGGCACATGGTATTTGGTCGTAGATTCTGGGATTGAGTGGCAGATGTCCTCAGTAGACCTTGTGCGACTGAGCTGCCCTATTTAGGGTTCCCACTGCTCACCTCAACTTGAGGAAGGGTCTAGAAAACGTGGCCTAAAAAAAGTCACTCAATTCAAAACTGGACAGGTTAGTGCACCTATCGGATCATTCCATTACCGCAGTCAAAATAAAAATAGAAATAAGAGAAGAAGAATGTGTGTGAGTCATTACAGTTGAGCTGCACCGTAGGAAGAGGTCTAACATCTTTAATGTTTGGTCTGAACATCATTTTCAACACAATCCACCAATTATTTAGTCCTGCAGCTCAGAGGGAGGAAGAGACGTCTAGAAAATGATGTTTTTCTACGAAGTTTGACAATCAGAATAATAATTTCGCTGCAAGGTGGGCAGAGAATGGTACCAGTGTACCTGTCAGCGTAGCTATAGTTCATCACCACCAGTGTGTGAATGTGTGTGAAGAGATGACTGACTGGTTGTGATGTAAAGTGCCTTGGGGGGTTGTAAATTCTAGAGGGTGCTAAATCAACACAAGCCATTAACCAATTATTAGTGTGTTTTAACTTCAGTCAGGTCCAACGAAGCACCTTCTAGTGTTTATTATTACCAAGCAGCGTCTATCAGGTGTGACCAAAGTGCGGCCCAGGGGCCATTTGCGGCCCTCAGAGGGACTTAGTGTGGCCCTGACTTGCACTTCCAGAACAATTGAATGGTGTCTCTCCAACGGGCTGTTGATGTAGATCAAAATTTAATAAAAATATATATATATTCAGACTTTTACTATTATATCAATTTAAAGCCTTTTTGAAAAGTTCAAACAAAATAAAGTCACCCTAAAATGTTTTAGCATTATTTTTATTTTAAGGAGGCCCCCAGATCTTATTTATATATGAAGTCACACAGCAACCAATCAGCAGCTAAATGTTAATGAATTATTAGCAAACAATAAGTTCCTCTCAACAAACTATAGCTGCATGCATCTGTTAAACCATCAGACCCATTCAACTAAAGGGAGCCTTTTCTTTAGCGAAAGACCATCAGAGCCTATAACCCAATGTTACACTCATCTTCGCTGTGCTTTTGTGGATAAGATGGGAAATCCTTTAAACTGGAGTTGACTCTGTTTACTGGAAGCCTTTAAAGCCTTTTTTTCTGTTAGCGTTCTAAACACAAGCCTTCGCTCGTGAGTCAAAGCCAAACGCATCAAGGATTTTTTTTACAGTCATTTCGCTTTAATATAACTTTTGCGTATTTAAACTTCAGCACTGATTGTGTGAAACGGTTCACAGCAGGGCAATTTTCAGCAACTTGAATAAATCTGAGCTTCTGAGGCCTGGCTGATATGCTGAGGCTTTGTAGAAACAGTAAGAGCAAAGAAAAACAATCTGGAAATAAAAAAATGTTTAGACTTTGAAGGAACCGTTGAGTTTAATTATCTTATTGAAACCTCAAAAGCATTTTTCCCTCCCCGGGGTGACAGCAGCAGTTATTGCCTCTGTGTTCTTAAAAATGAAATGCCATATATTAAGGCGTTCACTTGTTATTAATGAAACAGAGGCCCGGATTCAGAGAGAGTAATGACGTCTGGTTGCCTCCTCCGTGGGTGAGGGGGTCTGCAGCGAGCCGGCTTACCTCCCATGTGATGACTAATTCGGAGCGACTGCCTCCACCTCCGCTCACGTTAGCAGGAGTGACCTTCGGAGCTGCAGGAAGAAAACACATCGACTCAGAAAAACCTCTAAATGAACACGTCGCCGTTTCCTCTGCAGCTTTATCGCTTCCATTACTCTGTTTAACCCTCTGCTTCTGTTGTTGGGAAACAGCCTGACGTGCTAGGAGATGGTTGGCAGAGTTCAAGATGCTGTTTGCAAATGAAACATTCAAGATTGTTTTATCAGGTCAGGCCAGAACTAACTGCAAATGTAATTTCCAGCACATGTCACGTCTTTTCAAGGTCATTTTTAAAATTTTACAGCACCTTAGTTGTAAAAATGTGAATAATTTAGATTTAAAGGCAGACTTTAATTTATTGTATATTTTTTGAACAAACGCATATTTGGGCCTGTGTCCTTTATGATGGTTTTTATTTTGGAAACAATTTTCTACTTTTACTTGTTATTCAGATTGCTGAAGGCCTTTGTGCACTTACCTAAATCATATTATTTCCATTGTCCACGTGTATGTGCTGCCTTAAAGCTGCTACCTGGAGTTTCCCCCTTTCAGGAATTACGTATGACTTTTCAGAAATCCATAAAGGTGATTGTTTTATCTTGTACATATAATATATATAATGAAGGAAATACATCTTTTTGAGATATATATATATATATATATATATATATATTCACTAAGCCCGCCCTCTGTCCCGTAGAGCTCCATGCAAAACGAACTGAGCGCCGGTCAGCACCAACCAATAACGTTAGACTAGGTCAATCACAGAGTGTGCTTGAGCGTTTAAGGACGTACCTCGATTGATGCAGATTGGCAGCCTTACTCATGGACGAGTGAATGTTTAAAATATAAATATATAAAAACACAAAATTACAAGAGCATAATAATTGTAAAACAACAGTTTTAGATCTGTTTTGTCAGCTACAAGAGCGCATTAATGAACGAGAGGCGATGCTCTCGGCGGTAAATACGAAAGGGAAACTAACGTTTTGTGTGATGTGCTAGTCAGCCACTAGATGGCGCCATCAGATGAAATAAATAATCCAGACAGCTACTTTAAAGAGTTAATTTCTCCATTGTTGCATCAATAACGTATATTCTATTCTATTCTATTCTATTTTTATGCATTCATGTTTTAATTTGACTATATCCGTGATATTTTAGACAATCTAATTGAAATTATTTAAGTTTTAGGTGAAAAATAAATTAAACACAGATCTCACAATAAAACACAGAAATTGGTAAAAAGTAAACAGATTCCATAGAGCCCTTGTGATTAAATAAATGAATAAATAAATAAAGACAAGCAGTGTGGGCATAAAGTTTAGATTCAATCTAAAATTAAACTTTAAATTTACACTGAAAAAAATAAAATAAATAAAAAAAATTTAACACAAAAAGTTTGTTTTTGCTCCTATGGGCTGAACTCAATGATATGAACCATTTTCTGATATACAAAAGACCCAATTGTCTACATCTGTTGGTGAACACTCCCCCTTGCTGAGTTAATCCAGCCCACGTCACCGTTAGACAGCTCTAGTGTGTGTGTGTGTGTGTGTGTGTGTGTGTGTGTGTGTGTTGGTCCACACAGCCAAATATCACAAAGATACCATTTAGACTTTTCGGGCTCCAAAATAGTTTCATCTCTTTGATTTCTTAATTTAACATGAAATAATTGTTCATCTATGGGAACAGCCTAGAACAGGCACACTGTTAGAGACCTAAAACTAAGATTTTCACATTTGTGTTGCAACATTATTAAATTAGGTTTCTCATATGCAGACTCAAGATCTTTGATTGTCATTGCACAGGTTTGCAGCAAAATTGCGTTCGTGCTCGCTAAAGACAGTTCACACAAGTGCTTGTGAGAAAAGTGGAAAATTAGTAGTTTTATAAATGGCAAAAGACATGAAAACAGAAGATTTACAGTTGTGTGATTCTGCCGTTTGCAGAATTTGCCAACTGTAAGACGTGTTAACGCTGAGTTTGGTTTGAACGTGATGCTGATGACAGAGCTGTCACCAACTATTTTAGAAAAACTTTCATTAAAATTTGAAAAAGTGTCCAACAATCAAAGGGAAGTTCCTAAAAAGTATTTTCCTGCACAGAAACCAGACGCATGAAGGAGGTTCCAGTACATACAGGTGCTCTTGGTCCGGGCCTGTTTGGATGGCTCGCTGGGCTCGCCGGTCCCGACTCTGTTGCTGGCTAGAACTCGAAACTCGTACTCCACCCAAGGGTTCAGGTCTATCACTGTAGCTGTCAGCTGTTGGCCTCCGACCACCTCAGGAACTGGCAGGAAACACACATCACGTCACTCTTAACAAACACTCTGAGTGTGTATGATTTATGTGAATGTGCCAGCTGATCTAGCAACCAGGACAAAAGGCTGTGAAATAAATGATAAATCCTGTGTGATTCTGTTCAAACTATAGCATGTAATTTACCCAAAACAAACACAGCTTTTAAATCCCTACAAGGGGACACAATATTATCAAAAACGGCCACTATTTCTCCCTCAGCTCCACATCGCTCTGCTCTTTTATTCTAAATAAATGACAGAGGCGTAGCAAGTCAGTGAGGCCAGACAACCTACCCAGATAAAAGGGTCTGTAATTTGTAATGAAAAAGAAACTATCAGTAGTTAAAGAAGCACGGTGCGGACTAAAAGCACGTCATTCCAGTAGCGCGTGAATGGTAAGGGTCCCATTAAAGAGAATGTGCTCTGTAACCACACTATCATATTACAGCCCTGGCAACACGCTGCATCATCAGGAAGAGATCCACGTCTCAGCGCTCCCACGAGTCCAATAATATAGCGGTCGATGGTCCCAGCGCGTTTGTGTGCCATTTGGTGCTGGAGTCAAAATTACATCTCCAATATTTTCACGGGCGATGTGGAATGAAGAGCAGCCCCGTCCTCGTGACTGGAGGAGGCCACGGCCGGTGGGAGAGAGCTTACCTGTGGTGACAGCCTGCCACCCCAGGGAGAACGGTGTCCTGGCCTGGATGGTGTGGGCCATAATTGGACTGTGATTATCAGAACCAGGCCTCCAGGACAGAGAGGCGGTGGTATCAGTAATTTCTTCTACATGGATGCTGGTGGGGGGCCCTGGGGGACCTGATAGATGGTATAGCCAGGCAGGGAGGAGAGAGAGAGAGAGATGGGGAGACAGAGAGTAGCAGAGGGAATGTAAATGAGGAGGAGATGGTGAGACAGGCAGAGTGTTTTTAGCTCCAGAGGCAACAGCAGCAAAGTCGGTCCACTTGGGAGCTAAATGGTCTAATTAGACTGAACACGTTCATCAAATACAGAAATTATTACTTGGCAAAGATTTCAGTCCTTTTATCCTCATCTCTAGATAAATGATGCAGGAGTTCACGTCCACTCATCGTGGGCATGAGTACCATTTAACCCGACCTTCTGATGGATTAGAACTGTTTGTTGTCCAGAGAGGAACGATGCAAAAAAAGCTTCAACAGTCCGGGTCTCCTCCACACGGGCACTGGCAGAAACATGCATTCATCCAGATCAGAGAAGATTAGAGAACATGTTGCTCATAGCTTCTCTCTTCAGCTGAATGGGGTTGTTTGACACCACCCACTGGTTTGACTGAAGATTAGACCAAAGTGAAACTCCCAAAAACTCAACAGAGCTTTGGGTTTACACACGCTTTGAAAGTCTTCTAAACAACTTCAGCTTCCATGATCATCAGATCACACGGTTGTAGGTCAGTATAAAGCTGTTTGGAGCAGTGAAAACGTTTCCAAAACCTGAAAGAAGACCCAGGCCTCAAATGAAAGGAACATTTCAGGAACAATCCAAGAATCGGGACAGGAACTGGAACTGGCTGGAGGACCCGTGTCTCGGACCAGATTACAATCACCATGGAGCAGGAGCGGGGTTAGGCCTGGCTACTTGGGCTGAAGCCCCGGATGTTTCATGGAAAGTCCCGGATCTAAATCGTGGAAGTAGCATGCAGTACCAAAGTCCAACAGAGAGGGAGCAGCTGGCAGTAGTTTGTATACTGCCTGCCTGAGCCTCCACCACTGAAGAAGAAGCCCTTCAGCAGCCGGCTTCTTCTACACTCTCTGCCTGAAACGCATGAGTGAAGATGGACATAAGGACGTTTTTTAGACCAAAAGTACAACAGAACCCCAGCTTTGATGAGACTGGTGCTGACTCAGGTTTGTGAGTCTTATTTGAAAATATTTGTTGTGCTGCTGGTTTGCCTGAAGTTAGCTTACTATCAGGTAAAGTTGTTGGAGAAAGAAAGGGAATATTTACTATCATCTCACACTAAACACTAACAGGAACAATACTCTGCCCTGAATATGCTTAATATGGAGCTTCAGATTAAACATTATGTGGTACAAGACACATATATGATGTTGACTAGTGCGTGTCACGTGTGTGTGTGTGTGCGCGCGTGTGTGTGTGTTAAGCCCCGGATCTTCTTCAGTCCTAAATCCGCCCCTGCCATGGAGTGAGAAGGTAGTGACTAAAACAAAACCTGCTCCAAAGGAGACACCTTCAAACTCACTTTCTCGCATGGACAAGCAAAGTCTTCGGAACAAACGTTTTAGGGCGAGACGAGAAAAAGGCTGAGGTGAGGCTTTCAGGTGAGGTTTGAACTCTGTTGCTACCATGAAGCATGGCGGTGGCAGCATCATACTGTGGTCCCCACAGAGTGAATATGGAGGACTACCATCACGTTCTTCAAGATGATTGAAACTTGGACACGTGGTGTTCCAACACGACGATGACCCAAAAACACACGTCAGATCTGGCTTCTGATTGGATAAATCCGTGAATGGCCTTACTAAAGACCTCAACCTTGCTGAAAGGCTCTGGGCTTAAAAGTAACAAGTGCCATCAAATCAAGTGCTTCAGCTGAATTATTGTTTCACACAACTTTCATGACATTTCAAGTGACATTGGCATTGATGCCCATGCTGAGTGGATGTAAACGTCTGATCACAACGTGCCTTCATGGACCTCTTCCTCAGCGTAAACCTGGCCAGATAACGATGAGACAACTTACCTCGGACAACCAGGTCTGCAGCGATGGAAATGCTGTCCACCTTGGTTTGGACGGCACATGTGTACTTCCCCGCATGCCTCAGCTGGATGTTTCGAATCATAATGTCTCCTGCAGAATGCTGCTGTCATTCAGCACACACACACACACACACACACACACACACACACACACACACACACACACACACACACACACACACACACACACACACACACACACACACACACACACACACACACACACACACACAAAGCAAACAGGCAGCCATAAGAAACGCGCCAGCCCTCCAGCTGTTGTAATTCAAAAACAATCCAGACGTTTTCAGCCTCACGGGGGAAAATCAAAAAAAAAAAAAGTGTGTCCTGATAAATACCCCCCTCCCCCCATCCTTCCATCAGGTTTTCCCGTCACCTTCCAAACAGGACACAGATGCAGCACTCTGTGGATCTATTCGATCAGTGTAATTACAGAACTGAACCTGCTCTAACAGTTTGACTGGGACTGTACAATGTAATATGGAGCAGCCTAATGGCCAGTCTTATAGTTGGTTCTTTAAGAGAGCCTTTCATTCTGTCCCTAATTGCTCCGCCCGCTCCTAGATGATCATTTCATCAGGGTCGACCCGAGCATCCTCTGTAATATATTGAAGACGGGTGGAAGCTGTGGCACTGAGGCTGCGGGATTTCTGAGCAGCGGCCGGGAGCCTAATCAATGAAAGTGGAGATGAACGGCAATTTATTAGGCAGAGGAGACGTTAAATCATGCTCCAAAAAACAGCTAAATCATAGCAGAAACTCTGAAACATGCCAGTGCTCTTTTTCCTTCCTCATTCCTACAGTCTTGAGAACAGAGCCTTGCATATGAGACACTGCAGGTCTGTTAACGTAACCGTCGGCTGCCTGAGAGCGGCTGCAGCGTGCGTATGCAAATGTAGGTTTAAAATTAACCAGAGGCAGCAATTTTCTGTCCATAAATAAAATACTCGATACAAACATTCCTTCTGCACTGCAGCTGAATTTATTATGACCCCGCTGAAAGAACCAGCCAGTGGCTCAATGAATCTTCAGTCACCCCAACCTTTATTCATCGAAATCTGAGAAGCGGGCTGAAAAATAAATCAGTGTCTTTTATGTGGCGGGTTCCTGTCAGAGAACCGAAGTACAAATAAATGAGGAATTCTCAGCAAACCCTGGTGAAGTTGGGTTTGTAATCATCCTTTAAGATTAGCGCCTCTTCTGACAACAAATGGGTCATAGGAAAAGGAGGATTATTTTAGGATGTCACTCGGAGATGTTCGCTCTTCTGCAGGTTTAAATTGTAATAAGGAAGAGCTCACAGGTCAGCAGAAGGCGGCTGTGAGAAAGAAACGGGTGGAAAATGAGATTAGCTAGTGTCCTTGTTAGCTCAGTCGGAAACATTTGCATTCTGCATGCAGGAAGCTAGCTTAAAAACAACAAAAAGCTCAAACTGTGATAAATCTGTCATCGCTTTAAGAAATACTTTGATTTATATCATTTATATAAAGTTTTATGACCCAGAAAGACACAAAGGGAAGGCTAAGAGTATGCAAAGGAGGTATAGCAGGCCTTAAATGTTCCAGTGGTACATTTTTAGTGCAGGCGGCGATCAAACGTTGGCTGACCAACTGCAGCCAAGGACGAGGAAGTATGCCACATGCATACAGTTGAGTTTTGACCTTCGATCTTGCTAACTTACTTTGCTTGCTTGTCATTTTTAGCGGAGACGTTTCCAAAATGTCTCAACTTGTGATGGCTTTCAATGTCAAACTGTGTTGCTGGAAAAAGGAAATTTCTCCAGTCGTTTGGAAGAATTTCCATTCAATTTCACAGAATCCACGAGTCACGAGGTGTGTGAACATTTTTGGCAACCGAGTTCCAAACACCACGAGGGTAAGCTGCAACACTCTCAGACATATTAGGACATTTTGTGAAACTGCAACGAGTCACGAGTCACAACTGCCTCCGTGAGCGGGGCGAACTGACATCTGACAATTTGAGCACTTTCTCACAATTTTGTGTTTCCAGCTTGTCGCTCAGCATGAGCCCAGTGGGCTACTGGTTTTATAGGTGAGAAGCCATAGCTAACCTAGCATGATCACAGTCTCACAAGACGTGTAGAAAAACTCATCCACATATGGTGGCATGTACGTGGCAGAGATCTTGAGTCACCCTGGTAAACATTTCAGTGCTCAAGCTGTAATAATGCGTAGACTTCTATCTCTGACCATGTTGGTCTTCATGGAAATAGAAAACTAAGAGATAGATGGCTTGTCTTGGTAAATGGCCTGTAATTGTATGGCACCTTCTTAGGGTTCTACAACCCCCCAAGGCGCTTCACAACACAATCAGTCATTCATCCATTCACACGCTGGTGGGGATGAGCTACGATGTAGCCACAGCTGCCCTGGGGTGCACTGGCAGAGGCGAGGCCTGCCAAGCACAGGTGCCACCGCTCCCTCCGACCACCACCAAGGAGCCCAAGGACACAACAGCAGCATTCTCTGGTTGGAGCCGGGATTGAGCCTGCAACCTTCCGATTACTGGACAACCAGCTCTGCCTCCTGAGCGACTGCTGTCCCAGTAGATATGAACGCTGACCAATGTTGTGTGGGAAGGGGAGGCATGCAAGGCAGCAGATTAATCCCATCTATAAAACACATTTGTCACCAAGTGTACAGCGGAGACCAAAAACACGCAGCAGGTGTCGGCATTTTTGATCCGGATGTTTCAGTCATCCTCTTTAGAGCAGCGGAAGCTGCTTCTCATAACATAACAACTTTGTAAAACACTGTTTTAGTTGAAGCTTTGTCACCAGATTAGAATATTTTAGGTATTCTCATAATTTCCGTTAGGGTTAGGGATTTATATTTGACTAATCAAATGTCAAATCAAAGTGTCTTCTGCAGAATTCCTTCTTCCAGTAGATGAGGCAGCATTTAGAAAGGTTTGATGAGCCGGATTAGGGGTGTGTGACATTTGAAGATGATCTCAAGCATAGAGATTATAGAATCTGTAGGGTTTTGTCAGAAGGAAAAACCGTGGAGTGTTTCCACCTAGACCCTTTTAGATGTAACACTAAGAACCTGATCACTTTAGAGATTATCCAAAGAAATGCTCGTTTTCTCACCTGATGATTCTCACTCGCTGTAAGTTGGTGATTTGCATCATGTCTGTTAATTGCTGGCTGCGATGACACGTTAGCATTGCTAGCACCTGTTAGCATAAGGCTGCTGACGGTGTTTGTTAAAATGCCACTGCCTTGTCTTGCAGCAGCATAATCTGCTGTGCCATGAAAACGCCGCATAGTTTCGTGCTGTTCAGGGGTAATAATGAGATGTGACTGATTTTACTGTTAAGTGTTGCTTTGGAGCAAATGATGTTGATATGTTAGTTATTTTTTTCACACATTATTTTTAGCCCACCAGTGTTTTGCAGAAGGGATGTGACACCACATGCATGACAACACTGCACACAGTGACTCAGACCTGTTTAGTTATTTATGTCAGGTCTGGATTTGTAGACGTGTCCTGTGGCTGCACTGGTTAAAACCTGTACATTTGTAAAAAGGGTCTAAAATAACGATGGGAACTTCAATGAAATAAAAATGCAAATGCTTCCTTAAAATCCATGCAAGTGTTTGGACTGTAAGAGAACTCTTGTCTATGCTGCTCCCACACTATGACTGCGTGTTTCCTTAAATCAAGGCCTCATAGCCTCTCTGCTTCTCTGGAACCATAGAAGATGTGTAGGGAACTTACCCCTCCTACTTTTTCAAAGAATCCACCATGGTTCCCGAAGTGGATGAGCTGCTCATTGAAGAACCAGGTGAACTTGAGCTCCAGAGATGGATCGTGGCTCACTTGGCAGGGTAGGACCACGCTCTCCCCAACGGTGACGTCTAGCGTAGCGGGCTGGGTGGTGATGATGGTCGGCTCTGAAACACACATCAATATTCAGGCACGTCTGATCAAGCACTCCTCTTTTCCAGGGAAGAGAAAGGCTGTGGAAAAAGCCAAGTCTTCCATCATTCTTATGGACATGTCAGGTGCGGCTTAATGGAAGGATATGCAGGACAGAGCACATGGCAAACTATGCCGCAAAGCTACAATAACTGGAATTAGTTTTGACCTGTGGGGACTCTGAGACGTTTCTCTCCTAAATCTGAGAAGCATCCATGTGTTGCTCAGGTGGGAACTGTGCTCCGTCAGCCTGAAATTCCCACAATACTCTGCTAGGAAAACAGTAACCAGCCATCCCCACCACTCCCCTTTCAAGCCTGCAGTACATTATATTGACGTTGCAAGGGAACAAAGCAAGTGTCCCTTACCCGCACTCGAGTGTGAGCGGGGGGTGTGGGGGGGCTGCTGGAAGGACATGAGAGAGGCGAGAGGAGAGGGTGAGGCTTTGTTCTCAGAGTGTGCAACACCTGTCTCCCTCTTGGGGGTGCTGTGATTACTTGGTTGAAATTGCCACTCTGAGCACACGGACTAAATTAAGTGTGGCAAATGATCCCTGGGCAGGCATAGATTCATGTAGAAAGTGCCGGCAGTGCAGTCTTCATCCACAGTGAATTCAATACCTTCATTACACACACGCACGCACGCACACACATACGCACGCACGCACACACACGCACACAGTAGTACCATGTGATCTATTCCAGTCGTTTTCTGATTTCAAGGCAAACGACCGCTGGTAGGTGTTCTCTCCATAAAGGCACGTCCTGCAGGTCTGGTCCTCTATTGCAGGGGCTAAATTGGAAACGATGGTGCTGCTGCAAAAATGTAACGCAGACGAGCTACTCAAGTGTGTGCTCTGACTCTGAACGCTGACTGCACATAAAAAAATACACCTGAAAGGGTAACAAATATGTTTCCTTTGAAAATGTATTGGGGATGATCTTGCTGCATTTTCCTAGAGAGACAGTTGATGAAGATGATGTGATGAGAAAGAAAGGGAAGAAAATAAAGAGAGAGGAAGATGAGGTAGAGAAACTTCAATGGATCTCATAGAGAATGGACTGCTCTGTCCATGTTGTATGGAAAACTGCATATTTCTTGACAGATTGGCAGAACTGCCTCATTTCTGACACAAACTCCTCTCCTCGTGGCTCGTCCTGTCTGGTCTCTCATTGCATCGGGGATTTTCTTCTGACAATGGTGGTGGTAACAGTCTCCCTTATTACCCTCCTCTGTCATCATTTGTGACAGATTATACAGACAACCCAGGCCGGTTATACAAGCAACACACCAGGCTCTTGAGCATAATTTGATTCATTTCCATCCTGTACAATGCCTTGTTACCTGCTGCCACGGTAAACGAGAAGGTAGTGAAAAACTCACTTAGCAGGGTCAGGATGAGAGTAGACAGGCAGCCTGCTAGTGCACTCAGACTGTGTGGCACCTCGGGAAAGTGCTAAGGTGGGTCAAACGTTTCACTTCATCGTTGCATATAGAAAATAGCGTTTTCCTCATAATTTCCCGTTTATGATGATATATTAGAGCCATGCACTCAGAAGGAATAGATGAGGGAGATTTCTTTTTCCTGGACAGTTTAAATGTTGAAAAACGGGCTTCGTGTTGAAATATGTAAAACAAAGAAGTTATTTTAAGATTACATGAGAAACAACAACTAAACCAGAAATGCATCAAAAAGGATGATGATGATGTCAATAATGATTGTTGTATTTATTTTCAGCAGTATCCTCACTCCGTTTTAGAGGACTTTTGCAGTCAGAAGGGAACAGTTTAGGTTTATTTGAACTTTACACATTAAAAATACAGTGTTTATTTTCCCTGGCGATAGAGGGCAGTGCATACCTAAATCATTGCAAGCAAGCTGTATTTTTGTGTTGAAGTAAGACCTTACCAACGGATGGCCCTAAAGGGTCAAAAATCACTGGGAGCGCAATTTCTGAATGAGTACTTTGTCGGATCATTTAACCTCCAGCAAAGTGACAAAAACATCAAACTCCCTTTCATCACTGGCAACGAGTAAAGTGATAAATATGTAAAATAACAACGTTTACAAATGACAAAAGTTTTGTAACTGTTACAAACCAGTAAATGCATTTTGTCCTTATGGGGTCCCGCAGAAGGAAACATTAGTGACCTGATTGTTACATATGTTCCTAAAAGAGCACTTTGCTGTCAGACAGCAGGTTTACTGGTGGTTCCCAGAATATCTAAAAACAGGATGGGAGGCAGATATTTTGGTTATCAGGCTCCTCTCTTGTGGAAACAGCTCCCAATTTTAGTCCGTGAGGCAGACACCTTGTCTACTTTTAAGACTAGGCTTAAAACATTTTTATTTGATAGGGCCTATGGTTAAAATCTGATCTTAGCCCAGATCTGGACAAGTGGGGGAGAAGAGGGAGGTGGAGTGCACAGTCGGTAAAGACGGCTCTCCCTTGCCCTGCCTCCAACATGCCTCCATCTAAAAGACTAGGTTATCCAGATTTTTCTTTAAACATCTTTGGTATGTTCTTACTTACCGTGTCCAGTTTCTAATTCAATTTTTAGATCTTTTTTATAACACAGAAAAGTTGTTTTTACCTTGCTGACAGTTTTGTTTGCTGACTGCAAAACTTCCTCAGAGCTGACATATTTACATATATGCATGTATGTGTACACACACACACACACACACACACACACACACACACACACACACACACACACACACACACACACACACACACACACACATATATATATATATGTGTGTGTGTACACATACATACATATATACATATATGTATGTATGTGTACAAACACACACACATATATATATATATATATATATATGTGTGTGTACACATACATACATATATGTATATATATATATATATATATATATATATATATATATATATATATGTGTGTGTGTGTTTGTACACATACATACATATATGTATATATGTATGTATGTGTACACACACACACACATATATATATATATATATATATATATATATATATATATATATATGTGATATATATATATATGTGATATATATATATATATATATATGTGATATATATATATATATATATGTGATATATATATATATATATATATATATATATATATATACGATTAATTAATTTAGATTAATTAATTACAAAGCCTGTAATTAATTAGATTAACATTTTTAATCAAGTCCCAGCCCTAATATATATATATATATATATATATATATATATATATATATATATATATATATATATATATATATATATGTTAATATATTATTTTTTCTAAAACCCAACTTACCTGTGCTTGTAAATAAAGTCACCTAAACCTGATAACTCCATCGACATTATGGAGAGGTTGTGTGTGTGTATGTGTGTGTGTGTGAAAATGGCATCTTTAATATTCATACAGCTCCCCTCTGATTGGCTGACATGAATGTACACTCTTCTCCTGCCTCTGTTTGCTCTTCTTTCATGGGTAAGCGTGTTACCTCCACAAATATGACAAATAAAAGTGTATTTCAATTTAAATTAATTAAAAAAACATTTTTTGGGGCTAACTGTCAGTCATGAGCTCTTCGAGTCATCCTAACTTCCCTTCCCATTACGGCTCTTCTTTTTTTTCCGTGTCCTGTCCGGCTGTGAAGCAAACAGAATTGGTGTCTGAATACTGGTGACAAGCCTTACAGATTTACTCTCAGGCGGAGCATCAAATGAACAAGAGTCTGCCTCTAGACTTGCATAAAGAGAGAAGAAAAAAAAAACAACAAAAAACGAAAACAAAAAACAAACAAAAAAATGGGACACAACAACAATACAACAAGATCAAGCTATCACTGCATCAACCTGACGAGGAAATATAAAATCAACATTGTTTTACTGAACAATCACACGATAATAAATCACAGTGCATTTAGTGCCAGCCACAGCCAACATGTGTTGAACGTGCCCAAGTCCATACTTATGAGAGCATCATGTGAGCACCTGTATGTGTACACACGCTTGTGTATGTAAGGTTTCTCTATAGGTGCGTCCAATAGTGTGAGGGGCCACAGATCTGCCCCCTAAAGATGTGCAGGAGACGGAGGGAGCTCCAAGTCCCAGAGATCTAGGAGCTGCCCCAGAGCGCAGGAACTCCTGGGAGACTGCGAGCAGAAAAGCCCCCGCCCCCCTCGAGAGGGGCAGAGGATTGCCCCGGGGGGCCACAACCAGCAGCCGGCAGAGTCCCGGGAGATATCGGCGGCAAGCCCACAGGCCCGCCCGCATCCTCCCACCCCCTAGCCAGCTGAGCCCAGGACCCAGCGACCCGGAGCCCAGGGGTGACCACCCTCGCCGGGGACCCAGCAGAGCCCAGAGACCCAGACCCCACCAGGAAGCCACCAGGATTTGTCAGGCAGATGCCAAAAATCTTAAACTCCCTGACCCAGGAGCCAGGACCCAGGCAGACCAAGGCACCACACCCCACACCAGGTGTGGCAGGGAGAGGGGAGACGAAGATCTATATCATCAAAAGAAGTCCCAGAAGAAGGGAGGAGTCAAAGGCCCCACCTGACATATACAGTCATACACAAACACAGTCACACACTCCCTCCCTCATGCTCACACATACACATACAACCAAAGACTTACAATAATGCACGCCTGACACCCACTCATGCTCCCCATACACACCCTATTCACTCTGGTCCCGGTATTGCTGCACATGGGGTACAACCATCACCGGTTACCAGAGTTTGACCCTTTCTGCTGGGGTGCTGATGAGCAACATGTGCTGAGCACAGCAACCCACCACCCCAGACCCCAACCAGACGGCCAGATCTCCCTCCTAGCCTCCAGCCCCAGGAAGCCAAGCAACAACAGAGGTGTGCTAAGACCCCTAGTCTCCCTCCGCCTGCTCCAATATGGTGTTAGTGAGTGCTGATGAGGTGTATTCCATGGCTGTGGTGAGCGGGCAGTGCAG